TAATTGAATCTCTTTGAAGTTATAAAAACCAAGGAATGACTTGTGAGTGTTATGTTTTAGTCTGAAATCTCCGTGAAATGTTCATTCCTTAACCTAAGCTTATGAACTGATCTGATTGATATTCCATGCATTAAACCTTGTAGTAGTTCTACACCACGAAATGACTGTAGTTATAGAATATTTGAAAAAACAGACAGCGTCACATTTTAAATCATCAATCAGAGATTGTTAGACCACCATTAGAAACCTGGAAGCACTGAAAGACGAAAGTTTCGTCCTAGTATGAGACTACTCATCAGCAGTGCGCATCCACGAATCCCGCACCTCTCAGTATTCGAACCGAGGACCTTCGATTTTGCGCACGAATGCCTAACCTCTGGACCACTGGGCCGGCATCCAACGGTGTTAATATCTAACTCTGACTGTTTCGTCTCAATAATGAACTAATGCAGTAATGCATACTTTCCCAATGAGTTAAAGACTGTTGTTATACATATACACTGTGATGAAAAAATGAGAAAATCATGTAAAATTAAAGAATTCACAAAAGATTGCATTTGTGTGTGAATCATTTTCCTTAGTTATGCACAATACAGCTCATTTTGTCCAACTATCAGTAAGAATTTATCTTATAATACATGAATATGTTTCTAGTCTGTAAAAACACATGCTCAAATGAATTCTGTTAAGCGATTTAATGAGATTCCAATGCAGAATTGAAATATTTCTGAATAAAATGGAGATTGTGTTGTAAGGAAAAAGACAATAAATTAGTTAGAAAATAGTAACGTAGCATTGTAACACAGATCATCACTTACTAATTTAGTCATTTTCATGCATGGTCCCATATGTTTGCAATGAGTTTCGCAACCCCATTCTTCACCTTCGAACACCGCCATATCTCTTTTTCAGTTTAGACAGCTAAATAATAACGTTATCTTTTATATACAAAATATGTGTTGACGAGTGTTTAGGTGGATCGGTGTAGTTGTTAGGAGATCGTGGACCTAGGTTATTAGGTAGTCGGCACATATGAGTATAGGATATTGATAATCGTGATGGAATCAACCATTACTTTGGAATTCAAATCCCCTTCACCAATCTTCACTGTTCGAGACATTTACACTGAACTATCTAAGTCGGCTACCTGCAACATCTTGTGACATGTGATATTGAGTTGCATTGTAACCTGATCGATAAAATTCAGTTAGCATTTACAGACTAGACAATCATGACATCGGTCACAACTCAGTGATTAATTCTTCTTTATTGTCATAATTATATAAAGGTTCATTTGTGATTGGGATGTTAGATCCCCAGAACTCGCTTGATAAATATCTTTATTTTGGATTTATTTCATGGACCAATCAGTTGACCTTAAGATCACATTTCCCACCATGGAAATCCTTGACTGTGATTGGTTACTGTGTCATTTTAGTGTGCTATTTTTGTGACTGTCCCAATGACGTCTCTATAGAGTATAAATAAACGTTATTTGAGTGCTTTGATTCATTGTGTGCTGGCTGGGTATTTTGTATAGAGTACAATTTCTACACTATATATCAAGACTTCTTACTGATACAATTTACATTACGGGGTTGTGAAGATTGTTAAGTTACACATTTTTGAAACCATGAATCGATCAATGTTAGACCACCATTAGAAACCTGGAAGCACTGAATATGATCAAGTTAGACATTAACATCGTTAGATGCCGGCTCAGTGGTCTATCGGTTAGGGCGTTCGCGCACAATACCGAAGGTCCTGGGTTCGAACCTTGCGGGGTGCGGGAGTCGTGGACGCTAGTTCATTGTTTTGTTCTGGTTATTCGACTAAAGTGAACTCGTAATAGTTTAAGCATACCTTGAGACGAGTGTAACAATTTGTTATTTGTATTATGTTTGATTATTGAATCATATTTCAATATATCTAATGCATTAATAATGTTTTTTTTTGTTGATTTGTATGTATTCGCAACTTTATTTTCATTGTTAGATAAATTAAATTTAAAGCGTGGCTTATTAATTGAACTTTGGTTACGTATCTATTCACCAAATCTATATGATTGTTTAGCAGCTAAAGGATTTATTCCAGAAGAAATATTATATAGATTAATTCATCAAAATCATCAATCTTTTCATCATTCTGGTGACAACGATGATGGTGTTGATGATAATGATGATGGGGATGATGGGGATCGGAATCATGAACATAAGCATCGATCAATAAGATTTTTTATTGATCTGTATAATATGACTGGTAATAGTGGATGTTTAAATGGGAAATTACAAATTAGTATGGATTATTGGTATGTCACAGTTTACTTCGTAATCCTATTCTTTGATCATTCTGTTATAACTAACTATCTAGTCCAAAAAGGCCGGAGTCCTAAGGCGTTATAGCGAGAAGTTTTTGATTAGTAATAATTCAACTATATTGGAAGTGTTGAGCATTGAATTAGGAGGTTACCCTATTTAACCAATCGGTTTAGTGTTTTCATTTGCTTGCGTTAGATGAAAGGAAACAGTGTATATATACACTAACAACACATGTATGTACCATTCTAAAGGAAACTAATGCTTTGTGTAAAGTTGGAACATCAGCATAAGATGATTTTCGAACCCAGGATCTAAAAGTAAACAAAAAGGAAATGGATCTCCACCATTACGATTGATTCTGAGCTATATTATTCAACGTTTCCAACCACTAGCTGCGATAACCGAGAATACTTCAATTTACCAGCACAAACTGAAGTCATATCTTAGCTTGAAGGCTCCTAGTTTTCCATCAACTTATCCATACTTTATCCAAAACTATCCGTTAAGACTGATAATGGTTTGAGGACACATAATGCACCTCAGTCGGTAAAGATTGATGATAACAATAGTTGTTTTGTCATCCCAAATTTCTGACTCTAAGCTTAGCATTATTCACTCGGTGCTTCCAACATACGAGAACAATGTTTCAAAGCTATCTATGATCAAATACTTGTAATCTCTGAATATCTCCTATCTTCTAAACCGCTTTTAACAGTCATCGATTTTAACTCGAGGAACCATTGTGTAGTATACTGGTCCTTTTATTAGGATACAGACATCTTGCCTATTCTACGAGTGACGTAAGTTAACAAAAGACCTATACCGAAATTTTATGAGATACCAACCCATCTCGAATGATGATAGAACTGTCAAATGGTCGTTACACAAAAACTACTTAACCCCCTTATGCTCAGTCTAGAATAATCCTAAAGCGAAATTTTCTAATAAGAAGAAAACAGACTTATCTCCAACATGCTTGTATAGTGAAGGAGAACACAGGTATTTATCTCAAATTACAGAGTTAATTGGTAAAATAGGAAAACCATATCGTAAACCGTTAATTTGCAAAACATCAATCCATTGTCTGATACTTCACTGTTCATGCGTTTCACACAAATCCCATTGTGTTCCCACTCTTCTTTCTTTATTGATCTTCCCCCATCTTCTGTTGCCAGACATTACGTTTTCACTCACGTCATATACTACTTATAAGTAGCGCGCACCATACTTGCACCGTTTGCACAAGACCAATAAAAATCAACTTCAACCATTATGTATATATCTTTGTATACCTTTTATACATATTTATTTTTCAGTTATAATATCATTAATCAATCTCCTTCAAAGTTCGACAACACAATCATCAAGTCCACAATACCACAACCACCACCACCACCACCATCACTACCGACAACAACAACAACTCTATTAAACAAACAATCCAATCTCATTTCAACTACTTCCAATCAATCAATTCCAAAGTCACTATTAATTATACCAAGTCAAACACAATTTAATCATCGTATTCAATTGTGTTTAGATGCAATAAGTGGTATGAAATTATCAATGATGCAGAATTTAAGTACAACAATTCATGCACGATTACATTGTTTATTATTAATCCCATGTGGTGAACAGAATCATGCTCATTTCACAAGCAATCAATTATTATTATATTATACCCATGTGATTAAATCCATCAACAGTTCACCACCTGTTTATAATTCTAGTTATGCTATGGAATTAAATTGTAAATTAGATGTACAGCTGCCGACATCATGGCTTATTGCCTGTCAACAATCGAATTATCAATCGAATTTAATTAATAATCAAAATAATAATCAAAATAATAATGACAATGTAGTAAATAATTATGAAATTACTTTATTTGAAGCTATTTTAAATGGTGATGAATGTCATATGGAACAATATGCTAGACCAATCACTAAACCATGTTTAATGATACAAGTTGATCTATGGTTACAGAATAATATGTCAAAAAGATTTAATGATTTGAACCATGCGAATATAAAATATTGGGGTAAGATTATGATCATGAATTTAACATTTAGTTTCATGAATATATATCAGCCTAGGTGGAGTGGAGTATGTTAGGAAATCTTTGGATGGTTGTGAAAAAATTCCCTTGTGTTTAACAAATGTGTTATATTTATTATATACCTACTAAAGTCAGTCAGAGTCAGTCAGATGCAACGTAGAACTTCGTACGTAAGTACATCAGTTCATGTCGCCATACCACATCAGCACAGAGATGTAATTGTCAATTCAAATCCAATAGTAGAAGAGGTAGTAAGGGTATTAGAAGTAATCGGAGAGGTTAGGGTTAGAAGATATTATTCAAGAAGTATGGTTTAATGAGATAAGTTTAGAAAGTAAAAACTAGAGGTGTTGAAGAATCCAGAAGATTAGGATTTGAGAGAACACAAAGAATAAATGCACCGGCGCCATTGCGAACGATTTTGAGCCATGTCATTCAAGGTCTCTAACCATCGATTATTATCATCTCATGGACCCCAACCAGGTAGTCGACAACTACCGACATGACTTAGTCCACTCGTCAATGACTTCATGGATTTGTGCCATGTTTTGGTTTGGCCGCCCCTAGCTTTCTTCCAACCTATTCCTACACTACAAAACAAAGCTCGACGAGGCAGTCGGTGGTTGGGCATACGCAACACATGTCCCAACCACCTCAAATGATGACGTTTCACCGCTTCATCGATTGATCTGCCATTCTTACCTAGTACCCGTTTCCTAACGACAGCATTGCTTACTCGGTTGTCCCACGATATACGAGCAATGCTTCGAAGACACCTATGATCGAAAACCAGTAACCTGCGAATATCTTCAACTCTCACTGACCATGTTTCACAGCCATAAATTAAGACGGAGCGAACTACTGCACAGTACACTCGTCCTTTAGTCAGCAAACGGATATCTCGCCTTCGCCATAAGTGACGCAAGTTGGCAAAGGCCAATCGAGCCTTCTGTATCCGTGCCGAGATTTCGTCAGTCACCAGGCCATCAGCACTGATGAGACTCCCCAGATAAGTGAAGCGGTCTACACGTTCGACTACTTCACTTCCTATCACTAGTTCAGGGGCCAACGCAACCCAGTCTTGAAGCAACATTTTGCATTTCGAGGGTGAGAACCGCATCCCGAACATGCTTGCATTGTTGCTTAGGGTAGTCAGATGACTGCATTTTGTCAGCGTCTTCACCAAGTAGGACAATGTCATCGGCATATTCTAAGTCAATAAGCGAGCCACCTGGTAGAAGCTCTACTCCAGAAAATTCAGATGAGGATAAGGTTATTTCTAGGAGCATGTCTATGATAAAATTAAACAAGAATGGAGAAAGTGGACATCCCTGACGGACACCACTTGAAGTGAAGAATTCCGATGACAGTTCGCCATAAGCCCTCACTCAACCAGTAGTGTTCGAGTAGAGAGCTTGTATAAGGTTAATGTACTTCTTTGGTACACCTTTCAATGACAGATACTGCCACAGAACCTCACGATCAACAGAGTAAAATGACGCTTTTAGGTCCAGGAAAACAACTATTGTAGGACGCCTAAATGTGTGTCTGTGTTCCAGGACCTGTTGTAGTGTGAAGACGTGATCTATACAGCCACGTCCAGGTCGAAAACCAGATTGGTTTTCTCGAGTTTGCTCTTCACGAGCTTTTATGCCTACTAAAATGAGGATGTGTTCCCTGTCACCTTGACCTGCATTACTTTATGTCTGTTAAATAAAAACTATGAAGTTTTTAACTGTTTCTTTATTCATTGAAATCATGAATCAGTCATTGTCAGACTACCATTAGAAACCTGGCAGCACTGGACAGCCGTTCCGTCCTAGTATGGGACTCGTCAGTATTGTGAATTGACGGCTTCCATCCGTAGTGATTGAACCCAGGTCCTACGATCTGACGCGGGGATGCTTAACTTCTAGAAGTGTGAACATTTTTTGTTGTTACCGGTATTTAAAAACAACTCTGAAATATATGCCTCAGGTATGATGAAACTTTGAAACAAGTGATTCTGAGGTTAGGTTTCGGATTTTAGATGAAAGTAGAAGTTAATTGATTTTTGAACAATCAAATATCATTAATCTTGGTGAATTTGCTCTGCCTCTATGGTCAACTAACTTGGCTGCTATTTCTCGAAATTATCCACCGCTTATTCAACGTATCCTATTGCTTTGTAGTGTGTGTTCCAATGAGCTGAACATACATGACTTTTCTTAGCTTTGAGACAAAATATTTAACCTTTTTCTGTGCAATTCATTATTCACTTGTCTTTCAATTATTCGCTTATATCTTGGTAATTTTTACTCGGGTGTGTGTGCATGTTTGCTTGTCATATGTCTGACTTATTTCTGTCTGACTATAAATACTTAGGCCATATCGCATACAATTGACCCACTCGCCTCGTGCGCTTCGCTTAGCTTTGCTTGTAAGCTTTTCATTCTTATCCCTATCTGCTTAAATGAATTCATGAAATAAATTCATCCACAAAACCGTTTTTAGCTTCCTATTACCGCTGTTGCACAAACGGGGTTCCCCTAATTTTGACATAAGGAAATCGAAGGGGAGATTTATTTCATAGCATATTCGACTGTACGTCCAAACTGGTGTCAGATCTCGAGCCACTAGACTTTAGACAGAACTGGGATGTGAAAACGCTTGGATGGGAAAGCCGAAGCAACAACACCAGTGTACATATTAACTAAGCCTTTTAAATATATCCGTAGTGCTCTTGAAATGTTGGATAATAAACAGCGGTTACATTTATCGATATGACCCAAGTCGATAAGCATTCACTTATCATCGACGTCCTATGAATCTTAAGCATTTTATACTCTCCATTTATTCCTGTCTTTCTTACATCAAAGTTTTACTTATTTGTATTGTTATCTGTCCGTTTGTTTTAGCAGCTCGTTTAAGGATACTATAATGTACTTTTTCAATTTCAATTAGTACGCTGTTAAATGCAGTTATATTTTATTACTGTTAATCGCTTCTAGTATTTTATTTATACTACTTTCAATAATACATACTATTATTAACATTTGTAAAATTAAACTCATCAAGTATTTTCTTGTATTCTTAGTGTATTGTACCATAAATATATGAAGACCAGCCGTGTGTTATGTAATCAGTTTTGTGTTACAAGTTTAAATTTCTGTTTCTGTTCCCTGTCTTGAATGTCTCTCAATGTTCTGTTTTATGCTTTTGATAGATCGAGTAAATTTTTCGATGTTAAAATCAAAGTGTAAGTGTTCATTGTAGGACACTGCGTAAACACTACTAAATAGTCCAAGACTTACTTTTCTTACGTTTATTACCCCCAGTGGAGCATAGGCCGCTGACCAGCTTCTCCAACTTACTCGGTCCTGGACCTTCTTTTCCAGTACTAATCAATTGATGTTCATTCTTCTCATTTCTATCTCCAATACCCGGCATAATATGTTCTTTGGTCTTCCTCTTTCCCTTTAGCCTTTAGGTTTCAAATGAGGGCTTGTCTTGAGTGCTTTCCTCAATGTGTGTCGAATTGTCCAAAACACCAATACGAAATGAATCGTTCACGTGATATCAATCGTTAACAAAAACTGATTTCAAGAAATTAACTATTCTCCTTAACCTTACTACTACCTTAAACTTAGCATATCGTTATTGATAGTTGGTGTCTTTTTAAATAAATTGTATTATTAGATACTTATCGGTATTGCTTCAGCTAACTGAACATCTCGATCCTATGCTATTGAGATAATGTAAATTTGTTCAGATTGCTTAATATATCACCATCTAACTGGATGGATGAGGCTTTTTGGAACTTAATCTGTCAGTCAGTCAGTTAAACATAAACAACTTAAATCCTGACAGACGTATATGCATCAGTTTAAATCCCTGTACCCCCTTAGAAAATGGTGAAATGAAAATATGTCGATCAATGTCATATTAGTAGAAATAATGTCAACATCAGTTGTAGTAGAAAACATTAGGGAAAGATAAAACAATTTTAAGAAAAATGAATAAGCTTGAGAAATAAAAAAAATACAAGATCATTTTAAAATTCAAGTTCCAGGAGAAGAAGATATTGAATATATCAATTTCAAATAATTAGTCTTTATCTAAATATATGACTCAGTTTAACAGTTTTCTATTACCTTGTTTGATTTTATTGTATAGTTTCTTACAGAGTTATTTTATTATTAATAGCTATTGTGCATTGTTGTACCGCTTGCTTAAATAATTCCCGGCTAATTCCTATTGCTTAGTATTCTCTGACCACAATACACTGAACAAGTTCCAAAGAATCAAAAACACGGTGGAACAGGAAAAGATTATATTCCAAATAGCAAGGTTAGATGGAAATAAGAAGCCGAAGGCGAAAAAGAAACAACGTTAGTTTCTTTATAGTATTTACATGAGATGCTTCTGGATAGAAATTCACGTGATCGACTGAATTAGATTTAGCCAATCAGCGTGCAGCTAACAACACGAGAATTTTCTACCCTGTTCTCCAAGAATCGATCAGGCGCTGATTGGATAGGAAATTAGCCAATCAGCGCGTAGCAACGTAGTCATGCTTTAATTCCGTCTATGTCCCACTAACACGCATTTTCACTAACCATTTGAACATATAATCTACCTAACCAATACGAATCCAAAAAAAGCTAAAATAATCAAATGTAATGATAAAACTTTGAATAATTGGATACCAAATTGCTCAAAAAGACTATAATTACTCTGATTATAGGCTTGTGGAGATTGTTGAATTTCATTGAAATCACAAAAAATAATCGAAGTTATACACCATCGACAACCTGTAGGCGCTTATTGGTGGTTTCATTATACTACGACACTCCTCAATAGTGGGTATCTGCCACTACTTGAACGACATGGCTCCGAATCGTTTGGAATGGCGCACGTGCATCCACTCTTTGTGTTCTCTCTAATTCTAACCTGAATTCCTCATAATCTCTATCTTTCTCCTTCTAAATTTATCTCTCTGA